ATCAAGAACATCTTACTGAGCAATGAAGGAACCATACCTTAAACATCTGTATGAAATCTCCCGGCTTCTTAAATATACCAGTCTCAAAAGACCTTGCTCTATCCATTTTCTGTTTCACGCACGTGAAAAACAAAGCAATAACATGAGCTGAAAGAATGCCATCAGCAACTGGAGTCTCTGGTGGACTCTTTATCAATTATGCAGTGAAATTAATCTTATATTATTTAGTTCCTTGAAAATTTCAGTCCCATAACAATACTGATCAAATGACTGGAGGACGAAATATATGCCAATCGGACCAAGAGTTGCTTGATTATTAACAGGTACCTAGGTGAACAATATGATAAGACTACAGTAATACATGCAACTTATACTTCGCATGTCAAAAGCATCTGTAACATAGCTGTGAAGAATCAAAAAACTTACCTAACATTAAATAACTATACAGATTATAAAAGATATAAAGTAATTGTAGAATTCAGCTTATGCAAATACTTCACCTCTTCATCTGCCTGCAAAAATGTCCTCAAATCTTCGCTTTGCTTAAGTTCAGGGTGTGAAGCTAGTCTGTTGATGAATAGGTCCAGAGCTTGGCGCCTCAATTCAATGAATTCTTTGCTAAACCGGAATTTCTCTAAGAATAGAGCAAAGAAACAACAGCTCAGTAAGCAATAAAACACAACATTGGCACTACAGCAGTCAATACATTTATGTTACTCTGCAGGGAATATATGGGATAGATTGTTGATAAAATTACAATTTGTCATATTACCAACAGCATTCTTCTCTGGAAGAGGAGGTATAAAAATGCCTTTGTACTTCTCAGCTAGCCGATCGTGCAGCCACTCAAAATCACTATAGCGCCGGATAACAATTTTCTCTGCTCCCTCGAATTCAGGTAGGTTAGTCTACAGAGGTAAATATTAGCAAATTAGTAAATCAATAGTAGCACATCAGCATATAGCCAAAAAGGAATAAATATATTATCTTCTCAAAGAAGTAAATGTGATACAGCTCCTAGATAGCATGCAAGCACAAGACAAATATGGAGAATGAAAAGTAAAACGAGTGCTGGAGGTCAATTCAATAGGCTAAACAAATGGGTGTGAATTAATGATAGAACAGTACAAAGTGTCATCAATTGGCGGTTTACACAATTGCCATGTCATTCCGCAATCATCTTTGTTACAATACGAACCAGTAGGATCCAGAGTCTAATGGTTCGGGTCACTACAATCTTACTGTGTTGCTTGAATCAATTAGAAAACTCACCCGTATTTAGAGTAGACAGATTTAGTCATGAATTAGTGCGAGCAATGCAGCAGAGGGTGCTTCCTCATAGAATCATTTAATTATGGAACTGAAGTATTTCCTTTTTAATCATTGTGTTCCTTTTTTTTTTTTTGAAACCATGCAGGAGAGCTACATATAATAAATATATTAAGAAAGGCTAGAAGTGCAGAACATAGTTCAAGGGTTACGGTTATCCTGGGATCGGCATTGGTTGACGGCTACCCCATCCCCTTGTATCGTTCGGCCGTGTACTCTGTTCGGTTGGTGCTTTATATATAAAGCGGGGCGAAAGCCTGTTTCGAGAGTTAGACAGTCAAACCAACCACGAAAACAACTACAAACAACCCAAAGGTGGTCTAAGCCAGGAGGGCGGCCAATCCCTCCATCAGAGCTGGCACTTACCACTCGACCCTAGAGCCCTAGAAAAAATGATGGAAGCCGTGACTTCGTTATTGAAGATTCTTTGTGTTCCTTCCATATAATCGACTCAACTAAGATGATTAAAAAACTATTAGAACCTTCACTGAAATCGGGCGGGGCGGGCTAAACACAGCCTATTTTGTGCGATCTAAGGACACCGTCTTCGCATTGTCCTGATGCTCGATAGCTACTCAACGTTCAGAACTATTCAGTGTCCTGCAGTTTTCTTTCACCCGGCTCGTACTTAGCTCTACTAATTAGAGAAAATCTTTTAAGAGCTTTCTAGTACCTACTCAAAGGCCATAAGAGTGTGCACACCACTGAGTTCATTAATTACTGGACTGTTACCAATTTCCAATGTCGGATCTAAATTAAGAAACCAGAGTCCATAAATTGAGCTCCGCTGTTCCAGCCTGAGTGACACCTACTAGCGGGCGAAAATTGCTCTAGGAATTGGCATCACCCGAACGGACATAACCAAACAATCAATTCGTACAGAACCACACAAAAAACTACTGAATCTGGACTAAATCGAAGTAACCGACGGGTCCGGAACTTGGAACAGAGAACGAGTCGGATGACCTTGGTGATGACGCGGTAGGAGATGTAGGACTGAACGCCGGTGCCCATCTTGACGGGATCCGTGACGCAGATCGACAGGAACGGCGCCCCGGCCGCCGCCCCGGGCGACCGCGGGCTCTGCGACTGGCTCCTCTCCTGCGAGAGCGCGCATGGGTAGATAGATTCAGTGCCACAAAAAAAAATTACCGGCCGAGCGCGCGGGCGGGCGGCAGCGGGGCGGCGGAGGGGCTAGGGCGTCGGAATTTACCGCGGAGATCATGGCGAGCTTCCCCTGCGAGGCCTCGTCTCCTCGTTGCGGCACGGCGAAGCTACGGGAACGAGGAGGGGGCGACTTGGGAAGAAAACGAAGAGGATTCTCTTTTTCTTATTTTTTCTTGTGAGCGATTTTGTTGGTTACGAGATTACTGAGACGTCAATGGATCTGGGGCCTAAGCGAATCCGCTTTAGCCCAGCTCCGCGGCTAATCGGCCTGCCACAACTCAAGATTAAGACCGGCCCAGCTTACTTTTTTCCTAATAGTCAATATATGGAATCAATATTCTTTGCATCTACAAGAAAAAAATGTTTTTATCCCAAAAAAAGGTGTTTAACTGTGCTTCTAATAGTTCCAACTTTGCTCCTGTTTCGACGGCGTGTTGAGATGTGGCGGCAATCTCTTCACTAAATAAGTACTTCTGACTTTTTTCCTGTAGTGACGGCGTGTTGTTCGCCATTGGCGGGGAGTAGAGGTGGGTCTTCGCCGACTAGACCTTTGATTTAACTATGTGAGGAATTGGTTCCTTTGTATAACGGACATTGTTTTTCCTTTCCTGGCGGGAGTGGGCGGTGCTTTTCTTCATCATCGAGAAGCTCTCTCTAACCCTTGGACCTTGATGTCATGGACAAGGTGTGCTACCCCGCAAAAAAAAGGTGTGCTCATATTGCCCGAATGGGCCGGAGGGTCGATGTAGTTTCAAAAAACTGAAGGAGAATTCACTTGATGGAGTCCTCGTGGCGGCAATGATGACTCATTGCTACGACGAAGTACTTTGCCATGTGAGTGGTTCTTGTAGACAACAACACATTGGAAGTTACAAGTTACTATTTTACTATCTTGTAGGGGCCTCTGCAGTTGTTCTTTTTTATATGAATACAACATTCTGTTATTAGAAAAAGGTTCTTTGCAACGAAATAGGAAAATTCTCTGAGAATTTGAGATTGCTAACCACATCTGTTTTGAAGTATATTATAATCGAATTTGCCATGTTCTTTGTTGTCAACCAAAGAGTCTAGGTCAGATGGTTAGTTTCTTTGTGGTGGAACTAGCCTACCAGACTTCAAGTCCTAGACTTGACAATGGTGATCATATTTTCTAAAACTATTTTAGGCTTTTCGGCAATGTGTCGTTCAGTGGGAGGAGATGTTTTCATTGATTATGTAGGCGCATATGATGACTTCGTCAATCAAGATGTGATGTTGGCTCAGTATTTTGGAGGTGTGTGTGCGTTCATATAAGTGAGTGTTTGTGTTTGTATGAGTGCATGCGTTTGTACTCTGTTAAAAATAAAACTTAAACTATAAAGCAGGAAGACACATTCAAGCATCTATCTATTACAACGAACTTGTGTGTTCATTCTATTTTTCTAATTCCAACCCCAATGCTCGGCTTATAAAAAGAAACGCTCACTATTGCACCTTGAATCAAATCCTCTTAAGTTTGTGATCAACATCCAAAGTTCGAAACCATACTCAGTCTCAAGTTCGTTTTACAGTTTTATAATTGAAATTTCAGGACTATTTGTTTGGCCGCATTCTCAAAACGCGGGAATAGGAAAAAAAATACAGAGTTGAAGTGACATCGCCTAGTGCATTAGCGTGTATAAGCGGGCTCTAGGCACCGTTTTTTGCAAAAGAGGGTAGTAGTTTTTTTTTTGAGGGGTAAGAGGGTAGTAGTTGTAGTACAAAGAATGTGGAAAAAAAGAGAATGTAACAAAAAAAAATCTGAATCCATACCGTGAAAGTACTGCACGGATCTGAAAACCCCAGCGGTACAACCTTGGTGGCTCCGTTCTTCCCCAAAGGGCAGCAGAGTCCAACAAACCCGCGGACCCACCGAAGTACGCGCCGGCACGCATCCCTCCCCTACTGCGCTGCCGGATCGCCGCCTCCCCACCGGTGACGTTTGCCGTCAATCGCGAATCCGGCGCCAGCCGTTACATCGCTCGTCCGCCCGCACAGCCTCGCCATGGATCGCGCGCGCCACAAGAGCTCGCCCAGCTCCGAGCGCTTCCTCGGCGCATTCCTCCCCCGCGCGGCCGCCGGCGACCAGCCCGCCTCGGCGGCCTTCGAGCTCGACGAGGACGACCTCTTCGGCTCGGGGGTCGGATCTCCCGAGCGGCCGCAGCCGCCGCCGCCGCGCCGGCCCCTGCTCATGTCCTCCGTCCGCGCCGCAAACCCTAGCCCCCGCCTCCGCCGCCCGCCGGGGGGCATCCTCGAGGCCCTCCCCGAGCGCCTCGGGCCTCTCTCGCCGCCCCCGTCTGCTTCGTCCGCCTCGACGTCCCCCGCGTCTCCGGCGATGGCCCTTCCGCGCATGATCCCCGCCATCCCCCGCCCGGCGCCGACGCCGGCGATGCAAATGCCGCAGTCCGCGCCGGTGAATGTCCCGGTAGCGCGGCTGCGGCGACCGCCGTTCGAGACGTTCGTGAGTGAACCGGATGAGGAGGAGGACGACGACGAGATGCTGCCGCCGCACGAGATGGTGGCGCGCTCGCGGGCGCGGGAGTCGCCCATGACGACCTTCTCGGTGCTGGAGGGCGCTGGACGCACCCTCAAGGGGAGGGACCTCCGCCAGGTACGCAATGCCGTGTGGCGGAAGACCGGCCTGCTCGATTGATCCATTGCGTTTGCAATTGGCAGCTGCCTTCGACCACATTGATTGAGTTTGTGTGTTTGAATTATTTTGTACATTACGCGTGATCAGGTGTTAATTTTAGCTACACCTGTAAAATGTGTGTTGTATCGCTCACCAGTGCGGCATTACTCTTATTTATGAACTCTCTATTTGAGCTGTCAGGAGACATTGAACTATTTGGTATGGATTAAGATAATTGCGTTCTTATGTATCTTTCTGTGTTATAATTTACCCCAAGAGATATGGTTTACCGATCCTTTCTATTGTTACATTCCGAAAGTACGAACTTTTAACATTGAAAGATGTAAACTTAGGCATATTTTGAGATATTGTGATGTAGATTACTTTGGACTGCACTTATGGAGCTGGATTCTTTACTTGAGCTTGTTAGCTACTGCAGCTTTGTTTGGTGAAGAAGGTAGTTTTGCAGTTCTTTTTGCCGATGTGATTCTGCAAACTATCCATGATTCATCGTATTTGAGGTTGCACGTAGGATGTGGAAATGGATCATTGGTGCAAAATTGTTCAGGTGTTATAAATTTGACTGCAATTGATGGTGCTGTTCAGTATTTAGGTTTGAGTTAAATATGCTCTGCGTGCTGCTTAGCTGAAGGTGTGTGCTCGAATTTTCATTGTGATGTTTACCTCGATATTAAAATTATTTTAGTTTTAGTCTAAACCCAGGTTTAAATATTGTTCATAGTATCGTCGAACACTATCTTTTATGTATGCCAGATGGTCAGGTCTATGGAGCTGTGATTCGGGAATTCCAAAAGAAATCGATGGCTTAGCTGTCCAAATAGTTCAGGCAAACAGAAAATATAGCTTAATGGAGCTCCATGATCACCCACTTGTTTTTATTATCAAGGAACACTTGTTGCCTTTCCCAGCTGTATGAACTAGAGATTGGTCGCCAGCATATCTGAAATCTTGTCCTGATGGAAAACTGGCAATTATGTGTTGAGGATCTTCTTCGTACTACTACACAGGAGTTGTCTGTCTATTACACATATCTGGAATACATGGTCCAACCAATAGAGCAACTGAGCAACGGGCAAATCTCTGTTCCCTTTCATTGATGCTTTTGCCTGCATATTCTGTATTGGGCCGGTCATAAAGGTTCACACTTATTCCATATTCAACATCCCAATCCCATTGCTAGCACTTCGTCGACAGTTAAAAAGAGGAAATGCGGTGGAGCTTGGTACAATGCTACTGGCACTTTTAGCAGCGGAATACAAGTCTGATCCACTAAAATCTCACTTTGTCTGTCTGACCGTATTGCACTTGTGAAGCTCTTATTCAGTTGTGGAGTCCCTGTGCCCATGCGACGAGGATGCTAGTGAAGCTTTTTCCGTCTACTGATGCCAGTAGGTGCAAGGAGTCCACTAAATCTTACCGTGACTGTATCATCACTGGATTGCAGGTTTTTCCGACCCCGTCGTTCGAAACAGAATTGAGGGCTGGAGCTGGATACATCAGTAGCTGCTGTGTTGGCTGAGGCAGGAGCATGTGTTAGCTGTTGTGTTTGGATTCTGGCTGGAGCCAGCATGTCGATGCAGGGGCAGGGCGTGGAGAAGTAGAGATCCTGTGCCGACTGCAGCCGCATCTCCGTCCAGAAACTGCAGCCGCGTCTCCGTCGAGAAACTGCAGGCAGCATCTCCGAGGAACCATCGGCTCGATCGGGATGATCCGCGGTTGCCCGAAAGCGCAGATCCAAGGTCTCTCTCGAGTTGCCACTGACGCGGTGAAATCCTAGCCAGCAAAACTGGCACGGACCTCAGCAGAGCTACTTGCACTAAACGTCTGAAACAGTGAATGGGTTGTGCTCAGTCCCATGGTTGTACTTTTCGTGACTTGCTTAGATAGATACTCCCTCTGTTCATCAACACATGACGTTTTAAAACGTAAACGTCCGTGAACAGAGGCGAGGCGTGACTTTGGTGGGGAGCAAGTTCTTCTGCGACAGTTTTTTCCCGTATGACAGCACTCGAAAACAAGAAGCCTCACCCAGTACACTGCTTTTTGCTTCTTTCTTTTTTTTTTGAAGGCAAAGCAACATGCTTTATAACTTAACTGTGCTGGCCCAAATCAGCCAAAGCACAAGCAGCCACATTGGCTGGGACATCCGACTCCCACTGAATACAGAGGTTTGGGGCACACGTACGACCCATACTCGCAAGTTCATGGGCAACAGAGTTTGCCGTTCGGCGACACACCGTTATTACATGATGAGAGAACCACATCTTCAATTCATACTTCGTATCTTCTATTATTGCTGCATAGGCCGACGAGTCCGCGATGCGCATGTCCATGGCCTCCTGAAGCAATTGTGAGTCCGTTTCCAGCGCCACCCTCACGATCCCCAGGTCCGCAGCGAAGACGACAGCATGGGATAAAGCCCATGCTTCGGCAGCGAAAGCGTCTTGAACATTCTCCTGGTGCCCCGCCCTAGATGCTATCACACTGCCATCCCTAGTACGCGCAACGACGCCCCATCCTGAAGAACTTTCCCCAGGCACAAACGAGCCATCAAAGTTCATTTTGATTGTGTCCCCATCTGGTGGTTGCCACCGGTCCAGCTGTAACTTCTTGGGTTGCGGTGCGAATATCTGTTGATACTCCAGGGCATAGCTTCTCGCCCTTCTTGCGATCTCTGTGGCAACAGCAGGCAGTTCACCATTCCTCAACTTGTTTCTGTTGCTCCACCAAAACCACCAGAATGTCAGCAGCAGAATCCGTTTGCATTCATCCAGTCCCCACATGTAGTCCAGCATAGCATGCACTGATGTAATGCCTTCCAGCGCCAGCCGTTCTCCTTCTAGGGCCAACTCTCTCCAGCCTTCTTTGATACTTTTGCACTCGAGTCATATTGCCAGACTATGAAATCTTGGATACCTTCTCTTAGCGGGATCTGCAGAATATGATGGGCATCGTCCGCCCAAAATGTTTCTCTGACGAGTTGCTCATCCCAAGTACCCGACACTGGGTCAATCAGTTCATGCACACGCTCCAGGAGATGAGCACCTCGTGGCGTAATAACCCGTCGGGACCACGGTCTCGGGAGCCACGGATCGGACCAAATATTGACATCTGTACCATCTCCAATGCACCAGATATAACCCTCCTTAAACAGCTCCAACCCATGAAGAAGGCTGCGCCACGCATATGAGATTCCCTCCTTCGGTACAACTTCAAAAATTTGTGTGTCTGGGTAGTATTTAGCCTTCAGCAATTTGGCGCATAAAGTATCCTGGTTCTGGACCAACCTCCAGATTTGGCGTGATAGCATCGCTACATTGAAGCTGTACATGTCCCGGAAACCGAGACCACCTCGCGCTTTAGATTCTGTGAGCTTTTGCCAGCTGATCCAGTGCATTGTGTGCTCCCTATCCTGTTGGCTCCAGCAATAATTACCGATCAGTGAGCTAAGCTCCTTGCAGAAGGTCTTTGTTAAGTAAAAACAGGACATTGCGAAGGTTGGTATAGCTTGTGCCACTGAGGTAACCAGGGTATCCTTTCCTGACTTTGCAATCAACTTCTCCTTCCATCCGTACACCCTGCCCGCCATAGCCCCCTTCACAAAGGAGAAAGCTTTCTTCCTGGACCGACCCACATGCACCGGTAGGCCGAGGTACTTCTCATTCCATGTCTCACTCCGGATT